CTTGTGATCCACTGATCTGATGGTGTTTATCCTGATGTCCTTCGCTTTAAACATCTATTTGAATACTTTTTCAATCCTCTGCCAACACTCACATTCTTCAGACTCATTTCTGCTGCACAGCCTCCTCTTCCTCGCTCTTTACTCATTTCTCAAGCCCCAGCAGTATCTGACCGCCCTCCGAACTATTTGAAGAAGGCTGGCAATTACATTTCTATACCTGCCGCATTGGTGCAGTTTCATGGATGCAGCTGGCATGTCAAATGCCAGACTCATAGATCATTACTTTTAGTTGTACAGAATGCTCTGGACAACATATAAGATACCAAAAAAGGACTTCTTAGCAGTCAAATGGTTCAAAGGATGCAGATACACGAGAAATTTCGTCACAGCATATAGATCTACCGGACATGCAGCCAGCTACACATCTGTTTCTTAGCTGACTTCTAGTCATATGTTCCCACTGACAACTGAGTACGAACTTATAACAAACAGCAAAGTGCTTTCCGAACACGATTATCTTACAAAAGATGCAAAAAAGGCACAAATCTGAAATCTCCACTCACATAGGCGAATACCACCCCTCTTTGCGACAATTCAAGTAACATGCAATCAAAGTACAAGACGGTTACCATGTTTGAGCTCTTCCTGCTTGATCTTCTTAGTATTTCGCCTTTTAACTTCTCCATAAAACACTTCCCGTTGATTCTGAAGTCTCGGAGAACAGCGCCTCTCCACAAAAGAAGCATCAGTGCTCTCTGGCGTTCTCACAACCAGAAACACTTGACATTCAGCAGGCTGATCAGGTTTCTCTTTGCCGCGTTTCTAAACATATGACAGAAAATAATGGGCGTTTTCTACCATGCTATACAATTAGATTATACCTTGGCGGTCTGTGTAGGCTTGACTGGAGCTGGCGAATAATCGGCAGTAGCTTCCTTTACATTCTTGTCGGCAGAATTGCCCTGAAAACTACGATTTTTATATAAATTATAGCACCGGAGCAATAGAAAGAGTTTGAAGATGGTACCAAACCAAACAGCTGAAATCTAAACCTGGTTCTTTTTCGTACAACTACTGGTCTTTCTGCTGTTCCACCACACTGGGAAATGATTTGCTTTAAAACATTTTTTTACAAATCTCAAGATTGAATATGTCAGGTGTCAAAAAGCCTTGTCAACGCCATGCATATTACGATAGGGTGCCGAACAAACGCATGCTAATCCTCGCTCACGAGTGTCTTCATGCAGTAGTAATTTATCAGTAGTAATTCATAATCTCAATTCTAAACCACCTATACCTCAAATTCGAATGAAGGTCGCGTCTGAACGAATTTGTTTGCTCGCTTCTTACGTGATAGAGCATTTGATTCACAGTCGGTGTCATGCGATGAAGTAGAAGCAGCGCACTCTTGCTCCTCGTTCGAAAGAAAACAATATTAAAGCGACGGTTGCGAAAAAAATGCGAATGGCAGGGCTCACCTTCTTTGCACTGTAAATACACTCGCGCACGACAAAAGCACGATCTACTCCCATGACACGAGCAGCTAACTGATCGGGATCGCGTAGTGACGGCATAGAAGTTTTCATGAATCTGCAAGCAGACGATTAATTGGAAAAAATGAACTCAAATGGACCGGAAGGCAGATGGTACGACTAACTGGTCTCGCGTGGGGAATGCAAGTAGAACTGCTAATGATAAGTGGGGACACAGCATGGATGCAAGCCTAGCTTCTCGCGTTAGTTTCTGCGTTGAGAGAGCCCGTGGTGATTCATCAATGTGAAGGCTCTGCTACTGAAATGGCTAGAGCCTGACGGCGAGAAACCAGCAACAGGGGTAGCTAACAGCGGACAAAGCCTGTTAAGCTACTATGGGCCCACCCTCCTAGCAAAAAGCGCCTCATCGCGCTCGCTTGAAGTAAGGTTGTAGGCCATGACCATGAAGGGGAACTGGTCCAAGAAGGGGAATTGATTTGAGAAGGGAATTGATCCAGACCCCGCGAATTGGTACACTCATTTTAACCGTTAATTTTTACTCTGGATAAACCAGCGAAGAAAGCAGAGGAGTTTGGACGAACTATGATCGTTTGCATCAAGCCAACGGTGTGCGATCGATGCGGCCATTGAACAAATTTGGCAAACAAGTAAAATCGCTCATTTTCATAGCTATGACAGCTTTCGAAGTAGTCAGAGACCCCGTGAATGAAAAGGTTTCATCAAAGATGATATTATACTAAGAGAGACAGGTAAAATAATAGGAGATTTAGCGAAACACAAAAAAATCGCAAAACTGCCAAAACCACAATCGAATCAGAACCATGCAGTATCCAGGGAGTAAGGACTACCATGATGACCAACTTTCGAATAGGAGACCTGGCAAAGTGAAGAAAACTGGTAAAGAATAGAAGAAGACTTGTAAACGNTTCGATTCATTCAAATGATTCCCCTANACCACTACGCGTTCCACATATGCAAAGTGCACGGTCCATCAATGCCGCAGCCGATAACTCCACCAACAACCAATAATAACTCAAATCCTCCGTTTGGAAGTTGGCTTTGCCACAGTTTCTAGGTCGCAATAGAAGCACCCTTCGCCGCGATGTGAACCCTTCCATCTCCCTGGGGTCTGGCGTCCCTTGTCCCTTGGCGGACATGTTTGCCCGCACTCGACATACAATATATCGACACACCTGCTTTTGAAGGCACCCTCCGGGATTAAAAGCTCGCCTGTTCCATCCCGGGAGTAGCTGCTAGGCGGACAAGCGTTGATGTCGCCCTCCTTTGCCGCTTGAAAGTGTGCGGAAAAAAGAAGCTCGCCTGACCCTCAACCCACACCTCCGTCCGCAACCCCATCCTCCGCTGTCTGTTGCCACTTGGCGCTGCTTGGAAAGCGCGGGTCCGTTTGAGACAACGGTCCCTTTGCGGCTCAATGTTATTGGCATTGGAGCCACTGGAGCTAGGTTCGTCCAATTCGCCCCTTCTCTATACCGAGGTGGAATGCGGCTGAAATACGGGAGGTCTCTGTGTGGGACGAAATCGTTAATTTCGTTTATTTTCTTTCGCTTTTCCAGACCACCTCCCACCTACAGCTTCATAACTGAACGCTTCTCCACACCTATTTTATCCCAAATCTTGCCTGTAGAGGGGGATTTTACGATGAAAAGGCAGCTCGGAAATTCACTTAGGGATGGGCAGTAATTCACAAAAGGAGAAAAAACCAGGAAAAACAGCCCAGAACCCGACAAATGGCACGCCTTTCTTGCCCGTTGATTTTCGCATTGCTGCGACTATCATCGACATCATTGCCCTCTTCAACGCTAACGTTCTCCCTGCCAATCAGATAGATCTCAAGGGAGGAGGAGACGCACCACGCCGAAGCGCCAATAGCGCCGCGAGGAAGGCCACGCTAGAATGCTAGGTGAGTTCCCCCTTTTTCGACCTTATTGCTTATCGTGGGATCCTCCTTCAACTTGTCTGCTTCTATAGTAGATAACTAGATATCCGTTTCTTTGACCTCCAATTCATCGTACCACCTGTCTTCAAGCGCTGATCGACTGACCTCTTGAACCGTTTGGCGAATAAGCAAAAGAAAAATCGAATCCTTGTACCAATTCTTCTCACCTGCCCACATACATGATTCTCATTACCATAACATTGTCTGCAACAAAATGATACACAACTGACAAATGTTCCTCAAAGAGAAATATTCAGTCGAGAACCAAAACGGTTGAGTGTAGCTCATGTCTACACCTTTGAGAGTCCCGGGTTCGACCATTGCCGAGGCTTACACATGCCTCGCTAAAACTGCAGAAATGGTTTAGTACCAGCGTTAGGCCCGAGTTGGTGCGGACCCTCTTTTTCACACACATGTCTGAGGTTGTAAAATACAACAGGGATAAAGCTAGGGCGTCACACAAGAACGATTTATGGGTGTGCGTCATATGGCGCTATTATATTGGCCTTGGAGCGCACAGACCGTAACTACCACATCCTGCCGTGGCCGAAAACTCGTCCTCGCAACACATTCCGTTCCATTCCTTCTGCTTTGGCATCAGGCCAGCAGAAGCTATCCACTTTTTTTTACACCTTTAGGACTCAACAGGTTTGTGAGACCCAAATTACCAGATCGATTTACTGAAGTCTAGTGGTTGAGTGATAAGGACGAGCACTGGAGCGCGCAATCGGACCGGCGCATGTGCACACCAGTCCTTCAATCGGGACTAAGCCTGGGGCATTATGGCAATTTTTTTCGCGACCACCCGGAGGCAGCCATCCAAAATTCCTACAGCGCCCGATTCGCCGCACAAGCGTCCGTCCCGCTGCTTGCGCGACTAGGCGAACCCTTCACGCGTCCCTGGCACCTTGCAATGGAGCAGGTCCACACCTGAGGCAGCCCTTCCTTGCGGCAGAACTGACAATTGCCATGGTCCACTTTCTATAGCGATGGCGTTCCGCACAGTTGACGACCAGATTCTCGTGGCTTTCCTCGCAGAGGGGCGCAGAGAAAACGACGAAAACAAGTTGAACACATGTGGCACTGCGCGCCCCACCGCGAACGCGCTAACAAAAAAAAACCATATTGAGAAATCGTTTCTGTGGGCGTCACCCAGAAGTGGCTCGCAAAACCCTCGCCCGAGTTATGTGGTCAGTATGTGAGGGCTACCAAGGAGTGAGCGACCTCGGCCAAAGAACCTAGAAGTCTTGAGAGGTTCCTAATTTGATGCCACGCCGGAACATCCAAGTTTATGCCTTCAGGAGACACGATGGAAAGGAAAGGCCACTAAAATCGGGGAAGGCATTAAAGGCAAAATTCAGGATTAAATTGATGAGGTATTTCCACTCAAATGTGAAAGTAAGGCTGGGAGGTGGACCGTCAGTGGGAAAAAAAGAAAATAAACCGTGATACACAGAGAATACGAGGATTTCGCTCTACGTTGCGGAAAAGTTGAAAAGGCCGGCAGGGAGATGAGAGAGTGTGTGACAATAGACGGAATGGCGTGGCCATAGCGGTAAAAGTGCCTCTTGTGTTTCTGCAGGTAAAAGGACCATTCAAATCATGGCTGTAAGGATAAACATGAGGGAGGGTGCGGGGCAATACTGGACGTGTACGCACCTCAAGCCGGTTGCTCCAAATGTAGGAAGTATAATTTCTATCGGAGCATTGACGACGGCATCATATCGATTTCGAGGAGTGGAAATCTAACCATCGTAGGTGGTCTGATGGCCACGTTGATGATGTTAGGAGGTCTGTAAAAGGTGCATGGATGTAGAGGAATAGGAGTGAGAACGCCGAGGGAGATAGGTTTCGAGAATTGGCCACAGCCCATGATCTGGCGATGTGCATCATATTCTTCGTGAAGAGGAAAACCCGAAAGTTAGCCTACAGTAGTGGAGAGAGATAAACAGAAATCAACCATGCACACGTCAGAAGAACACCTCTAAGAACTGTGAAGGACATCAAGGTAAGTCTCGAGGAAGAACTGACTCCGCAGCGCAGGCCCTTTCCGACAGTCATCAACATATGGTCTAAGAAAACAAAGGTAGTAATGGAGCGGAGAATTTGGTGGTGGAAGCTACACCGAACGGAAAAGGCTGGAAACGGACCTTTCAGAAAATATGAGCACTCATTATCGCCAGGCAAACGATGGAGAAGTATTGAAGAAGAAAGCCGACGTACTACCCAGCCTTCTACGACCTGACCGCTAGCACTACCATGGACTGCGTTTAGAGAAGTGAGCCCCAGAACACCTCACCTCCCTGGCGAAGGTCATGTAGGATCAAAGCAGCTATCCGTACCCCGCACCGTCTAACGATGGAGGTGGACATCGCGGTTGGATACACCAGAGGTCAGCTCTGAGCTCGTTTCTCTTCCTTGTGACAGTACTAGATGTTATGGTGAAGGGACTAGGACCACTGAGGAACATCTTTTACGCTAATGAAATCGCTGTGATAGCGGACAGCAAAGAGGAATCCGAAGGCAATAAGCAAAAATGGCAGGAGGAGCTGGCAGCAGAATGGCTCCAGTTCAACGTAGAGAGAACCGAGTTTTTGAAATCCGAGGTTCCAGAGCCCACTCATAGGGATAGCATCGGGGGAGTAGAGGACTTCCGACACCTGAGAGGCGATCTGGCTGCTAACGTTAGTGTGGATCGGGCGGTGAATGATCTTATTAACGTTGCATGGGTTAAATGGAGAGTCCGCTGGAATTCTCTACAATGAAGGTGTTCCGGATTGCTCAGACGGGAACAGACAGTGGTAAAGCCATGGGAAAAACCAACATATGTGCCTTCACTCAGTCGAAAGAGGATGCTGAGATCAACCTGCGACCGGACGCGGCTAAACAAGGTCACACGAGGCTGTCAAAACAGTCACGCGGAACGCCCCTGTTCAACTGAAGTTCCGAAAGCAGGTCTCCTATGGCCACGGCAGAAGATGCCTTGGACAGGAACATGTGGCGACATTTAACAAAAAATGTGGACCATGCGACTGCGTGGGATTAACACGAATGAAAAAGAAAACAATTTTTACTTCTTCTGCGGTGATACTGATTCTTCTGCTTTCCATGACACTTCGGGAAAGTTTCTCTTCCTTGATGAGTTTTCCGCAACAGAAGCAACCGTTTTCTCCATGCTATTTCCCAAGTTGTCGTAACCTTAAACAATGGCCTACTAATATACAGAATTATTGCACATTACATTATACATTTATCATACGTTTGCAAAGACCGACTTCGGAATAATAGAGAGTACGCAAAAAACGCAAGCTTCCCCTTGTCTCCATGGTCGAGGTTGCATTGTTTTTGGAGAGGAGGGATGGTGTGAGTTATGAAGCAAGCTTTATTGGAGATATTTTTGGTTAGTGGGTCGCAGAACAAGCGACAAGAGTGAACTTCATAGCACGTGACATCTCTCAACGCGTTAACACGTTGACGACATCGTGCGTTTTAGGTTTTTGCACCTCGTGGGACACGGGCGTTTGCGAGCGTGGCCATCACACCTCACACGCGTGAATTTCGAATGGTAACTTTGGGATGCTTCAAAGGTACGAAACCATTTCAGCAATATTCAATGCGTAGAAAGCAATCGAAGATACAGGAGCGAAATTTCGATCAAAAAACGTGAAATGGTAAAGAACATTGGAATTCAAGCCCTTTTCTCTGTAGCAGATGCCAAAACTATTTTCGATGTGGATATGTCAAGTGAAACATATATTCTTCTATCCCTTTAAGTTAGTATTTACTTTCACTACTTTTTCCCACTGACATGTTCATCAGACTAGGAAGAAGACGAGGGATGAACCGAGCTACCAATTTCGTTGTGCTTAATAAACTTCTGCTAAAGTGGAGCATATTCGATCACCTCGTGACCCACGGCGTTAACAGTTATGTTATGTTCTATTCCACAGAATGGAGGCAAGCAAATTGGAAAGAATCCCCGCATACGCTAGAAAAAGGGGTGACAAGGGTGAGACGCGTTACGCGTCTCAATGTCCCACGAGGTGCGCGGTGAGACGCGTTACCGCGTCTCAATGCCGTCAATGTGTTAAATGACAGAATTCGCGCAGACCGCAGCATAGAGCTAATTTCATCTTATATATCATGAAGAAGCGCGATTTTCGGTCCATCTAGGGTACTATTACTTCTTCAATGAAGCCTACTTTCCCTCTTTTTCGAAATGTTAGATACAAAATACTCAACTGGACTACTCAGTAGACAACTTGCTCAAGTTTTTTTTTGTTTTCCCTCAAATTTAGCCGGAAAAGTGCGGAAGCAAATCAGGAATTCAACTGACACCTGTTTCCGAGTCTACAAAAAACATGGGTGCGGAATAATGCGCGATTAAAAATGCCTCCCTCGCGCTGGTGGAAGCTCCGGAGAAGATTAGGGTGGTGGCCAAATATCGGAGATTGTACAAGATTTACTGAGAGTTTTGATCAAACCAAATGTGCATGAAACTCTGTAACAGGTCGCTTTTGAGTTAGGCGTAACCGACATGGTTTTTTAAACAGAAATGAAGCTAAATAACCTAAAGCTCGTCAGTGGGTGCCGCAGAGTCTTTTCCCTACTTACGCAGCACCATGTCGCAGTTCCAACCGTGCACAAGTTGAACTAGATGAGCTCCGAAAGTGTGCAGCGAAGCGAACATTTCACCCGTAGACCTCTTGTCTATCAACTATGGCATCTCTAATCATCTGGATAGTTTATTCAAAGGAATTAGGCATTGAAACCCATCGTGATAGTGAATAACCTTCGCATAGACTCCGCCTGCAGAAGGCCAGTCTTTTCAACATTCAGATCTAAGTTCTCTTCTAGTAGGGAAATGCAAGAGGATTATAACAGTTTTCACTGTGATCAAAAATGCTTTGTAAACCGAGATGTGCGCTTTTGAATTTGAGGGTCAAAATCGGCGCAAACTTTCCGAACAACCCAATATTTGGAACCCTAATTTTGCCCTGGACGTGTCTTTAATGCTTTTCAGGTTGTTTCTACTTATAAAGAAGTACGATATACTGTGCCATCATCTGAATTTCGTTCAAAAAAGATGTTGAATACGGTAGTCGCGCGGTAGTGGTTTGGTTGCGTCAAGCCATCTTAACACATTGATGACAGCGCATTTCCGTCGCACACATGCCAATTATTTTTCGCGCACGCAAGATTTTCAGTTTTTTCGTATTTATTCTATAGATCACATCATTATTCAACTGTAGGGGGCCAATAACAAAGGTCACACTAGCGTCTGATTGTGGATAATACGACGTTATATAGAGCGCTGGTCGAAGAGGGTCTTGCAAAGTCAGAGATACCGTTTTTAGAAAGCTCTATATCGGTTAATCGAGTAGGGAAATTATGCAGCTGCTTAAGGTTGGAGTGATAACGGTAGACCTCCTTGAGCTCGACGGTGATGGCAGATAACGTCGAGGACAGTGAAGAAGGGCCTGTTCCTGATAAGAGGTGACATCTAAGGAACTTGGCCGTGAAACTTCATTAAGAGCAGCACCCCGCGCCGAAAAGTTTGATGATATGCGCCTAGGGAGAAAAAAACTTTTTGCTCCCTCTCCCTCCACCTTCCATGAACGACATCGTTCACAGAATGGTCAAACTGCTTTGGATTTGCAGAGCTTCTCTAAGCTTAAAAAATCAATTTAGTTCATTTCTTATTTTCGTTTTGTTGTCACAAACACTAAGTCAAAAAGTTGTAAAGTAAAAGCAAATCTTGGATGGCAAGGTATGTTTTACTAAACAAAGTAACTTCGACAACCTCTCGATGAATGCTTCTATGTTGCCATGTGGCATTTGTAAATGCTAGACCTGCAACTCCGTGACTCGTTTCAATGCTGAAGACGTAGCCGCGGCGGTCGCGTGCGAGATCAGCCGCCCTAATCTCGTCATGATTCCCAGTTTAAGGTGAGACTAGCAAACCTGGTCCAGACCACGGGGCTAGGAGGGGCCTCTCCCTCCTAGCCCCGTGGTCACAGGTGGTCACGCCTTCAAGTGTGGAAAAAGAAGTCACGGACCAGCTAAACGGAAATCCACGGATGTGAGATGAGGCAGGCGCGCTTGGAGAAACGCGCCGGTCTTGAGCGGCGAAACAAATACAAAAAGCGCTTTCGTCAATGTACCATGACCATTACAATAAATAACAATTCTACACACAATTTCTCGTGGCGAGCTCCCTTTCCACAATGCAGACAGCAATAAACGCTAAACGCACAAGTGCAAACGCAGAGAAAGTTGTTGAATAAGGGCAATGATTATAATAAATTCTAGGTAAGTTTAGAGCGGAAGGTGTGCTTGGCGGTGTGCCAGTAGCGAAAAAAAAGCACAGAAATGTGACAAGAGCACGAAAAAAGGACCCCTTTAATTCGTTTGTTGATAGTCGACTATGAACGAGCCAACAATTGCCCGGCTTCGCAAAAAAAGGAGGGAAGGGGGAATAACTCACGATCTTCCAATTCTTCACAGTTTGCCGAATGTACAACGTACATGTTATACATCTCGTTCTTGATACTCTGAAATGGCAGCAAATGAAATATAGGGTACGCACAAAATTAGTACCGTGATTAACCTCATGTGGATCACGTTGTTTCGTAGTAGCTACTCCAATTTGAGGATGTACCACTTTCTTGCATTGGGAGCCTCCGTGTGGATAGAGTTTTGCAGAGACCGTTCCCTAGAAAAAACAAATTTTCAATTTCAATTTACTTGTGTGGCGAATACCTCTTATCAGAGATAAACAAAAAGGAAACATCAATAGTCAAACGTGAAATCAAAGAAACAAATGTGAAGATTTTCCGCAGTGCTGAATGTAGCAGAGTAATAGTTTTGGAAGTATGCATAGTAGGGCATCAATTTGAGCACAAGATTGCCACAAGAAAGATTGGAAATCGGTGAAATTTTGAACAATACAACTCACTGGCACGTCCTGATTAGGATTCCATTCGTAATACGAGCGTCCTAATGAGTCATCTTGTCCGTGGTACAAATTGTCATGACCATTCTGTATGAAGCTGAGATTACTAGACTTGGACAATACGTTTCGAGAGCTGAAAACATTGAATCGTAAGGTTAAGACAAGAAAGTGAGCCCTTTGAAAGGAGAATAGGTAACCATGCCCCAAAAAATTATTCGAAAAAAACGAAACGAAGCCAGAAGTACACGAGAATATTCCAAATATCAAATTTGGGATCTAGGCGATGTTTGGTGCCAGACGCCTTCAAGCTGGACTCAACAGAACGTTACCTGTTGAAAGGGATAACAGCTTTCCGGAATTTAGCCTAGTGGAAATGAAAAGAAGATGATAAGTTGTAAACTAGTTACAAAAATTTTCAACCTACGATGAATGTCTTAGGTTGAAAATTTTTGTACTAGTTTACAAAGTCCTACCCTCGATGCCCCTTTATGACTATGCCTCCTGTAATTGGTATCTCTCTAGTGTTTTTGATTTCTTACATGTCATATCGGGTAATTGTATATAACGTTAATGTTTTGTGTTCTGTTGTGTTTATTACCGATAATAAATAATAATAATAATGTCAATATACTCATACCTTGAAGGAGCGCTGGTACTTAAGCTAGTAATTATGCGGTTTGCAGAATGATGCCAGTTTTGTCTCATTTCAGTTTCAGCTGTAAAACGTAGAACCATTTACTCAACCAAAAAATAATTACAATATTGAATCCTATTTGTAATCGCAACGTTAGCCGTTATTGAAAATAGCGTGCTTGGTAAGTAACTCACACATTTTGGAGGAAATCGGAGAGGAGTCATTTATGCCCTGGTTGTGATACTGAACCGCTTCTGCATCACGCACTACAAAACCTCTGGTTTCATGAAGCACACTGTCCATCGAGTACAGTTCTACATTTTCGAAACGGCTGCAGCTAGTGTGAAATGAATCGAAATTGGCAGCCATCCGAAGTCCGTTAGGTGAAGATAATGCAGGGTAAACATAATCGTACTCATAGCTTACAGAAAATCGAGAATTTCGTTGTGCTGCATCTGCTAGAAACGAACATATCGAGACAAGGAACCCGACATATAACTGAATGCTATGATATAACGGATCTAAACCAACTTTGCGAAGGTAATTGATACACCTCTGCTGAAGGAAAAAGCGTATTGAAGTCACTCATTGATCTGCAAACACAAAAGGGATCAAGATGAAACGTATGCTCTAGAATGTGGTTCACTAGAACAAAAAGCGAATTGTCTGATTTTTAGCAGCGCGAAACATTTTTTCGCTGCGGAATCTTCAGGTCCACCACTCATGAGGAGTGGGCATGGGGTTCTTGTCGCGAAAAAAGTTTCGTATGCGAAAAGCGGGAAATTCGCATTCTGATTTAATGAATCACACCCCTAGAACCACAGCATCAAAGGAGTCAATGTGCAACAGCTAAAAATTGATCAATTTTCGACCCAAAGCTAGGTATCTCACCTTTCCTTTGTGACGAACTCGTTATTAGCCGAACTAACCCAGTCCAAATGCGCTTTCCTGGTATCGGCAACACACTCAGAGGCGCCAAAGTATTCTAAAAATAAAGTACTGGTTAAGTTCTGTAGATATATCATCCTTTGCCCAAGCAAGCGGTTGTAAATCTTGGCAAAGTGGAAATGGTGTATGGATCGTCCTGGCGAATCCAAGAACTGCATAATCAGCGAATGAGAGAGAAAGAAAGGAAAATGCTTGAAAGGCCTTAGTAAGAATGAGAACAAGGAAAAAGAGTTCCAGTTCTTTCTTAACTGTGGACGAAAACGCGACGTGTGTGCACACATCAATGTCATCTATTTTTGCGTCTACATTGGGCCCATACTTACTTTTCTTTTTTATTTTGACGAATCTGGCGCGTTTTAAGGGTCTGATTGCTTCCAACACCAAATGCAGCGCGAGTTCATAGATGCCTTTCCATTTCTACTGTAAGCCCTTTTGGTCGCTACAATTACTCCGTGGAAAATTTCTCACATTGAACATTGCTACAACGTCCATGTCGTCCTTTGTTGAAACCTCGGCATTTGATGCTGAGAGTACTGCAATTATTTTTGTACTGTACACCACAACAAGGTTTTCAAGATGGAATCTTTACTTACGTTTCGACCGATACTTACGTTCCGATCTTTATTCACTGGCCTTACGTTTCAACCCCTTCGTCGAAACCGACGAAGCGTTTGAAACGTAAGGCCAGTAAATAAAGATTCCATCTTCAAAACCTCGTTGTGGCGCACAGTACAAAAATAATTGCTACAATCATTTTGTGTTGTTAGTGTTCACTCAAGATCAATGCATATGTGTGACCGAGTGTGTTCGCAATATCGCGCCGCTCTAACGAGGCCAAAATGCCGAAATGCTGTTTATATGGACATTACAGTCGAGAACAAGAAGTCTGATTGGGCGTGTCACGGGAAATGACGAGAAAGCTACCGTGCTGGATAGAAGTTGCGCGGATAAGCTGCCTCCAACGCGCTTCGCTGATATCTGGCGGAGTATTTTATCCACGTAACATCTATCAAGTGCGGTGGCTTACACGTCATTTCCGGTGACACGCCCAATCAGACTTCGAGATATGGACTGTAAATACTCATCATATGTATCGGATTCTGCAACACTAGCAGAGGGAGCTTCGAACGAGCACCATCTTGGGAGGATATTAAGTAGTTAAGTAGTTCTTAAAAGTTGTCCACTTTTACAAGGTGATACCGGTGAAAACCTAGTTCGGGGGAGGGGAAAGGAGCACTGTGAATAGCTGTCGAGGAAATCCTCGACAGTGGTGTCGTATTTGTCAAGGTGGGTCATGGGGGGTCGTACTCATAGGGGCCAGTAACGTCAGTGGCATCGTGGTGCAGATCATGCTGAATAACGGTCGAGGAATTTCTCGACTATCGCTCTCCGCTGTGAGATAGTAGAGCCGGTAGTGAATGTACGGTTGGAGAGCACAGGCGGCTGAGGTAAGCAGACCAGCCCTTTCGGCGTTTCTGCTGGAGCCTTATACTGAAGGTTGGAGAGGGGTTGGGTCCCGAGGTCGACGGATTACTTGAATTCGGTCGGTACGGTAAGAGAGTAACGACGCAAGTGGTGCAGCAGGTCCAGCAGCTCCGCGGACCTGCACCGGTCGTCCTCTCTTTAAGGCTTAGTCCTGATGAAGCATCAAATTGAAAGTGTTTCAGAGACCGAGTTAAAGTGGTCCCCTCCCCAACATTCAGCATACCGCTCAGCAGAAACGCCAAAGGGCTGGTTCGCTCAATTCCAGACGGCTCGCGGGTGGCGAGAGTAAATATCCGCGCGCGAGAACCTAATGGATAAGGCGAAATTCCTCAACGTGCCGTTGAGGAATCTTCAAGCAATATTCACCCTGGTGCAGATGGGAGGGAGAGGGTGTGGCGCGGCAGAAAACAGGATATGTGAGAAAGCATTATATAAAATGTTCTTTGCAGGTTCAGTTGCTCCGTCCCTCTACCTTCGAAAGGGAAGTATTTAATATTCAAAAGTACTAGAAAGGTTGAAAGTGCATCTTTGCAAGAAACAGGGTCACAGGTGCGCACGCACTGCAAAGGCATTTCCTCTACCTACCGCCCACTCCCTCGCCCTTAATCCTTCGTTGAGAATGACACTTGTTGGGGACACTGTCGCAAAAACGGCAATAGTTCTGGAAAGACCCTGGGCAAACGAAGCTGTTCTTTAGGTTACAGGAGTTACGAAGTGTATTTACTACAATACAGTTCCTGTCAACAGGTCATCATCATGTGTATAACACCTTTCAATAGATTCTACAACTTGAGTGGAGGTAGGATGCATGGCCTATACTAAGGCGATACCGGACGATGACGGTTGCCCTTTTGCTTGTTGCTTGCGTTGGGAGAATTTATTCTGAACACATTTCGAGAGTTGCTAACGAATTAACTTGCAATGTTAAAGAAGAGAGCGGCTTTTTAGGTGGCCGAAATCCATCCTCAATAGATCCTCGACGCAAATATCTCCTCAACTAGAAAGTGTAGAAGAAAGCTAGACAGGCTTTCGGGAGTGCTGAGCTTCCGCTTTTCATAATGCATGCCTTGCCTTTTTCAAGATCCTACGAAATTAAAGAGATATTGCCTTTTAACTGGCTAAAACTCGCATGAAAAATTCCGCATCCTCGACGCTACCTCGACAAAATTTGAGAGACCCTATCTCTCCGAGTGAAAGGGTTTTAGAGCAATTTCAACACGGTTGTAGTAGTAAACCTTGCTCTATCTGACCTTACCACATACTGTTCAAGTTATATAATGGAGGAATGGTACCATTTCAACGAGTTGGCCGTCTTCTTTAAGCTTGGCTTGCACCCTGCTCACACTACATGGCTGCGATTTCACTTCTTTGTGCTCTATCGTGTTCGTTTCGATCCGATCGTGCCGAACAAGATTCTTCTTCGCCTTTCCAGATCAAACAAGTATCCAATCATCAGGTATCATACTGGCCGAATCGAAGGCTCACCGGCCTAGACAACACATGATCCAGAATTTGATCCTCCGACCGCGCGCGTATAACTCAAGTAAATATTTTCCTGTATGTGGAACTCTTCACCTCCCGATACTTGCATTCCTTCGCATTATCGCGTGACATGATGAAAAGTACCAAGACTTTTTAACAGAAAGTAAGGAGGGTCGTACCCAGACTCCGACTTCATGGGGGGGGGGTCACTGCTGCGACCACGTCCTCAACATGATTTCCATCCTGGTGCGTAATATCCCCGAGCATGGCATATGTAACACACAGGAAAAAAACCTTGTGAATGAAAATGAAACATTTGTTGAAAAAAGTAGGTATTTTTGAGAAGCAACAGTAACGGAAACCTACTTGAGTCGATAGCAGTTGCATTTTCAGTCGCTCCCACTTCAAGCGATGGACAGAAGATATCACTAGAACTAAATAATTTTACTGAACCGCGCTACACGCCCTATGCACGATATAAGCTTAAAAAAGGAGAGAAAAGAAGCTTACTTTTCTTTGTTTATTGAAGCACTATCTAACTTATTATCAGCTACCCATATGACATCGACTGCACCACACTCGAAATCTGGTCCAATAACGCCTCGTTCTTTAGGTACATCAACCTCGAAGATCATATCCCCACAGCTTTGATCTCCGTGTTTCTCTGACAGTTCGTTTTCGTGAAAACCTTCAGCTTCTACCGGATTATTTGCCGCGGACCGTGATTCTGTAATCAGTGTTCATAGTGCAGATTTCAGTTAGACGAACAACATTAGTGGAGGTGGAGAAGCCTTGCCCTTCACTGAGCATTCCAAGAAAGTAACAGTAAGCTCACTTAGTCGAAGGTAAATCACACTCCACGAGTGAGTACTGTGTGATGCTTGAAAATGAACGTGGTTGTGGTGGCTGTTCCACCAATATGAAAAAGGGTAGAATAAACCGCTAAGGACCTTCAACCCACTTGGTGCAATCATTAGAAATCAGGTAAAGTATTCAGTGATAAAATTTCGGCACCTTTTCTTATGATTTCTCCATTAACACGTTGACGACCGTGTGGTATGATGTCATACACTCTTTCGGCCACGTGGGACCGTGTGACATGATGTCATGTCACAGTCTTTTTTGAGCCGGTTTTCAACATTTTAGGTAACTTATTCACGTGATGTATGCGCCATACTTAGACATTGTTACAAAAGGTGTGGTCCCTGGAAAGAAGCTTCGGTTGATGGGCTATCGAGTTTTTCTAAAAAAATTTGAATAATGATCAAATCACAGGAATCGCTAAAATGGCCAAAACCGCATAATCGGAGACCTACCACACAAGAAAGGTAACAAATACACACTTCTTGAGAAAAAGGAGTTCCCGTGGGACTGTGTGAAATGATGTCATGTCACACTCGCGCGGTCAAAATAAGGCGCGCGGTCCCACACGCCAGACAGCGAAAAATAGCGCGGTCGTCAACGTGTTAACAGCCTTTGGCCCTTCAGTAAATTTATAATTGATAAAAATCATATAGCTTCTCGAGTTCGATAAGCTATACTTTCGATTCATGAAATAACCCAACGCGCAACTGCGTCACGCTGTCGTCAATGGGTTATGCTTCTTTGATAGTAACTCTTACCACCCCCAACTCAAAAAAGTACATGAAGGCAGCTGGTGCGACAAACACCCACCTCATCATACACGGTCGACCGTTGTGTCCGTAATTTCCAAAATTTCTACGATCGATTTTTTATGAGCGATGCTCCAGACGAAAAAAAGAGTGGCCCGAACCGCGTTATAGTTGGGAGAGCTTTATTCAAGCTGACCTCATAGCAAAAGTATCCGAAGCTAATTGACTTCAGCTTTGAAAAATGAAATCTGGAAGGAATTGCAGCTCCCCTTTGCGATAATCGCATGTTCTTACACGTTTGCAAGCGATAAGCGGATTAATTTTGTCCCAAGGAAAGCATCAAAACGTCTCCATTGCCCATCCTCCTTCAATAAGTTGGTTTCCTGCCATTTATGGCTTTGCCATCAAATCCAGCCGTCAGGTGCGATTCCGTGCCCGAGCCATTCTGAAGGTACCACCGTACAAATCAGACATTCGTAGGTTTGACGTGTACACTGTGTTATGCTGATGAAATATTTGTCGTTTAAAGGCGTCGTCACAGCATCTACTGCGTAAATCATCTCGAAGAGAGCAAATGTCAAAGATTCTAGGGGTGAAAATCCACTTCGGAAAGAGGCACTCCTTGATATCTTATCCATAGGAGTGGAGAGCACTCTTTAGGTTGTCCAACACTGTGGATAAGATAATAAGAGACTAATTTTGAGAGTACGTGTGATAAGCATTGGTGGATGTGCCACATTCCACAAATCCTGCCCACATCCTATCCAATTTTCTGCACCAGGTCGTCCACCCTGGAGCTGCTGGCGTGGCAGGTTGAAATGTGAAAGGATCTTAGGATTTCTTCCACATTACATCGTTACTTATCAGGAGTATACTTTAAACGAGTAGATTACTTGTCTTTAGAGATCTCATTGTTATCTCAACACCTTGACGACAGCGCGGCAACTATTTATGCCACACCCATTACATTTATTTTTTGCGCACATGCTTGATTTCTTCCCGAGTTTTTTTTGTGTTCGTTTTATAGGCCATACGACAACATAATCAAGAACCACGTCGCTTACAGAATGGCCAAATATACTTTGGTTTGGCACAGGTTCTATACCTAACTAAAAAGTCTGTTCACTTCACATTTTGTCGCATGTGCCATTTCATGACTCTCCGAGACAAACCTGTAGAATCGATCTTTAGCCTTAGTTTTCTGTTTTTGGTGTAGGTAGAAAGCGCTTTTCCCTAAAACGAAACGTTCGTTTCCCAAGGATAATATACTGAAAGGAACCGTGGAGCGTGAGTCACCTAATAGCGCGGCACGATCGTGCAGCCTACTGACACGTGACAGCAATTAGCCCGAGAACATGGTTGCCTAGTGTAACTGCAGGCTACGGTAATCATGACCCGAATACGATGGTAATACAAAATGTGACCTATGAATATCTGATTTGCTAGGTTTGGTTGGTTTTATAAATGTTGAAGGAGAGACAGCGATATGTCGCAGAAGGGAGGCAGATGATAAATGTGAAAGAGAAGAAAGACTGTAATTTTAAGAAAATGCAAGCTCAAAAATTTATATACTAGTGTTTGATCCCGCGAAAAAGAAACTCATTATGCACTCCGAATGGTTCAGAACACCTTATTCGTAAACTGCTCATTCAGATCGGAGGTTTTCAATACACCAAATGCAACAACTGAAATAGAAATTCGGAATTTCCGTCCCTACAATGGGGACGAAAAGCTTCCGATCTCCGTAGTAAATAACTTGAAACGAGGCTCGAGCGGATCTAGTTCTTGCAACGTTTCTATGAAGATATTATTGACCAAACCCGAAAACACCTTGCGCCAGAACCTTATCACTTAAACGATATCCTGTGATTAGCAGGTATTATAGCTAAGAGTAAACTAATCACTGCATCGCAGCTCCTTTGCGCTACAGGACCTATTCACTTAAACGATATCCGTTGATTAGCAGGTATTATAGCTAAGAGTAAACTAATCACTGCCATCGCACTCAATTCAAATATGTGCCGACGTGTACATGTTGCTAGATAAGATGCGTCTCTGACGATGAGACCGATTATAAAACAGCCATTTTTGACATTTATTCTTAAGACATTGACGAGTTTTGGCTCTTGGCAGCGTGGGACCGGCGCGATTTTGCGAGTAAGCCACCTCAGGTCTTTCAAGCAAATTTCGAGTGAGTGAATTTTGATCGCATGATGATGAATAACGATGAACAGCAAAATTTGTAGTTCGTTGCATAGTTCTTTATACGCAGAAGCTCTGCGTTTAGAAATAAACAAATGAATGTGAATAAATGGAAGACGGTAGACCCCTCGGTAGACGCTAGGTTCTAATTCATAGCGAAGTTTTGCTATTAACATCAAAGAGCTAACAATTTGAAAAGGAGGTGCTTTTCAAATCAAGTTACTGCGTCAGCACTGACAGGCAAAGTGATATGCTAAAAAAGGTTAGACTTCTGCGATTTCACTTTTGGGCCATTCAATGAAGATGAAGAATGATTGCTCCACCTCCAAATCGAAGATCTTGAGCAGGACGTGGAAAGGCTCGCAGCTAGGTACTACTGGCGAAGGTCCAACGCAGCAGTTTCGAAAATATCATATCATACAAGTTCGGGTTTTCACTTCTTTTCTTCGAGTTTTCCTATCTTTTTCGATCAGGAAATATGTAACGTCAAGTTTATTGTCGAAACTAGTTGCGAATATATTGAAAGATAACCATCGCATTTGTCATCCCTTCAATGCCATGGTTAGTTGTGACATGGAAAGAAAGAGGCTACCTTCTGTTCAAAGTTACTGTAGAATTGAAAACAACTGAGAAATTGTTAGAATATGCGCACCACAACATTCTCGAAAATAATCTGGCAATTTCATCCCAGTGACACCCAAAACCACGCTGCTAATAGCCAGACGTAAAACCCCCTACCAAGTAGTCACTACTAGGTGATGACAGCAGACCAAGGTACCTTCAAATCCTCGTTCCATATTAGCTGTGGCTTCCAGTGCTGCTTTTAATCCACACAACATCTGTTATTATGTAGGAGTAGCCGAAGATCTGCCAGTGCCTTCTTAAAACAATACTACAAAGAATACATGAACCAATTCGAAATAATCTCTGAAGATGAGAGGAAAAGACAGTCTATAGAGCGATCACAACATACACATAACAGGATGGAATATTTGCAAAGAACTAGACAAGGAGAGAACAGAATATACAAGCATACCAAATGAAGCCTTGTCGTGCCGTTGTAAGCCGAAAGCGAAGTGACCCAATCCACAGAAGCGCGCGTCCGCCATTAGGCCCCGCCCATTATCGTGTTGCGCTCGCTCTGCTATTGGCTGTCTGCTGATGATTTCGTATTACTCGAGTAACGAAATCATTTCCTATTCACATCTACGATCAGCGCAAGAAACTCCAAGGCAGAAGAAGCAAATCGACACCACGACATCTTTGTTATTTCGGTTTCAGGATTTCTGTCCACCTGAGGCTAGACAGTTCAGCGTTCTCTTATTTCGTGGTCGGACCAGCATTGTCTTAGTATGTACAAGCATTAATTTCACAATTATGTCTACAGCCCACATCTCGAAGTTTGATCAGGCGTGCCAGCAGTAGTGGCGTGGCGGTCGCCGCACTTTATAGAGGCTGCGTGGATAAGCTGCTTCTGTCCTGTCTTGCTGATTCCCCGTGAATTACGTTGGTAGGCCTTATGCGTGCAACTTCTATCAAATGCGACGGACGCCACGTCAAGTCTATAGGCCCCTCAAATCAGACGGTCAGATATGAACTGTAAATTCAGTAGGTAAAACCATTCAAAATGAGGTTATAGTTAAGGATTATATCAGCATGATGTCAAGATTTTCGTGGTATTAGCAACTAATCCACGATGACGGTAGGGCAAGTGGCGTTGTTTCTCTCGCGAGCGGTCCAGGGACCATGTCCTGTATTCAGGATCACCAAGCCCTCCATCCAGGGTGATACGGTCGAGGAATTCCTCGATCATAGCTCTC